AGACATAAATCTTAAGACATGAGACGACATGTGCTCAACATGTTCTTTAAACACTGCAGACTTAGACATAAACCTATTAGAATATATTCCCTGCAAGGAAATATGCTGACTTGTACAGCAGAAGGCTTTAAAAAAGGACCCTATTAAATGATAAAGGGACACCTTGAGGATGGAGGAATGTGTTGAGAAAGCATGAACAGGTGATCTGTTATTCTTTATTGCATGTAAAGTGGAACCCCTTCAGGGTTATCTATGGTTTATGTCTCTCACTCTGATTTCTCTGTTCTTTCCCAAATTAACTTTACAAAAAAAAAAAAAAAAATACAAAGATACAGAGATTTTTTAATGTATTTTTATGGTATCATTTTCTTCCTAAATAAACATCCTTATTGGGTTTGTTAAACATTTTCTTTCCGGAATTTGTAAACCAGCTGTTTCTGTTTCGTTATAATCCCATTTTGTCCCTATTGTCACTACCCACTATCATGTTTAATTCTTCTGACTTCCTCTTGTCTTTGTGATTTATGACATGTTGCTTAGAAGCAATAATATGGATGTCTAAACCAACCTCAGCCTCTCTTTTCTGTCTTCCATCAATAGATCAGGGAGACTGGGATTTTGTGTGTTTGTGTCATCGCATGTGTGTATTGGGGGTTGGGTTGTATGAGGAGTTGTTATGGAGACCTTTACTGCTACTGATGGCAATAAGTCGAAACCCCTATATGACTGTTTAGATTTACTGTCTAGGGGGTAAAGAGGCAAAGATTACACATTTAAACTCGCACAGTGCAAATATTACACTGTATATGTTCACTGTATTTATTTTGAATTCTGTGGCTATGTGCAGTTTTATCAAGAATGCCATAAATCTCTTTATGTTTTGACTCAAGGTACTAAAAATGTGAATAAAGATTGGGCTAAATCAGGTGATGGAAATATATTGCCGCTACCAGCGTTAAGGACCAAAATGGCATGGGAACAACTTCAGAGGACTGTAGTTATAAGGACCAGCGTTACATCTCTGCTACAGGGTCCTGTCACTTCAGACTATCAGCTGTAGAGAAGTTGGCTTTAACCCCAAAAGTAACATTTAAATTAACATTTACAAGCTAGTTAAAAGTCGAAGACCAGTAGGTAATACAGCTAGCAGGATGAACTGAACTTTTTCGGTTCAGTACCCTTACAGGCAAAGGATAAACAAATCTGACATAAATGGAAGGAAAAAAAATATATTTTTACTCTTATTTTATGTAATGATTAGAAAACTTTGAAGCTAAGCTGCTTTAAAAATCCAGGAGGCTTTTTGCACAAAATTGTTCTTAAGCATTAACACATCAACCGCATGATATTATACAATCAAAAGAGGTGGAAAGCAGAAGATGCCTCAAGCCCACACTTCTCATATATTTCAGTTACACCATAAAAACATAATTTAATAAACATTTTCATTTTGCTAACCTGATATGGTGTCCTTACCCATACATGCCTGGCAGCTTAGGTAATATAGGGACTGAATTACTCTTAATTGTTTTGTAATATTCTTAAAGAAATTTAAACATCCCCTGAGTGGCAGAAGCTGCAATGCTCTTGCCTTAAAAAAGCTTAAACAGTACGATTACCCTAAAAAGAAAACTCAGGTATTTGTTTTTCCAGATGGTTTTAAATGGAAATAAAATGCAATATGTGGAATATTCAAAGAAACATAAAATAGAGGATGTGCTTTATTGTGATTTCAGTGTGTCTGCTCTGCTCTGTCTGTGCTTGGCTCCATTCTGCTTGGTAAAACCACAGCAGTCACATAGAAAATGACATGAGAGCTTTTAATGTAAAAATGAGGGGGAGGAAGGGGGGGTTATAGTCACTTTGCGCCGGCTGTGTGCGGTTGGCGGAGGGAATTTAATGTTAATCTTAATGACGGATGATCGAGTATGCAGCATCGTACCATAGTGTGTGTGACAGTGTTATTGTCTCTGTGATTAACTCAGCCACGTTTGCAACCCCTTCCCCTGAGAGAGAGAACCAGAGATTAAGCATAAATAGAAGTACTTCTGTTTAGTTTTTCATCAAGAAATGCTCTTCATTTCAGTCCACTCTCTTTTCCTCTATCTGCCTATTCCCCTCTCTCTCTCTTCAGGGCCATTACTGGTGATAAACACGGCGGTTTGTATCAGCAGGATGCACCTGGCATTAACGGGAATGCTTAAGAAAGTAATTAGTGTGCTTATGTGGGTCCTCTCTTCCCTGTAGATGCCCATAGGCGGTGTAATAAATGAGCGCCAGGATCCATAGGAATAGGATGGCAGCAATTGCTGGCAGTGCTGTTGTCATCGTTCAGCCCCCCTGACGCAGAGCGATGGTCTTGTCATGCGTTCTGGCAAACGACTAAATCTCGCTTTGATAGATCCACAAATGCAAAACCTTTTCAACTCCCAGCAGCATAATGTCCCTGGCTGCACTGCAAGAGCCAAATGTTAGATGTTATTTAAGTTATAGAGCCGCTCCTGGAGAAAACTCAAAGAAATAGTCATATGTTTTAGGAAACATGCTTACTCCCCTTTTCTTCCTGCAGGAAGATTGAGAAGATGGATGCCACATTTACAGCTATAAGCTAAAGATAAAGGAATATGGCCTGAAGTAGATTGCTTACCTTAGATCAAAGATTGGAAAATAAGAAAGCTGAAATCCAAATGGCTGCAATAACCTAGACTACTTTTAAAACTGGTCTGAAAAAATAAACTGACTGTTAAGGCCAAAATACCTAAAATAGCTCATATCTGATTTCTGTGGAAGATTTTAAGACGTGCCTCTGAAATGAGCGTCCAAGGGAAATACACTATATAGATTTTTTTGCAACTCTTCAAGCAATTAAGGCTATGTGGGGATGGCGCATATGTACACATTTTCATTGCAACGGCTTCCTGCTGCATTGCACCCTGGGTAATGACCCATGCAACCAATCCCACACTTTGGATCCACCAGGGGGGTAATTTCTCTCTCCAGGATGCAAATCAAACATCTGATTCTGACTACGGGGGCTTGGCTTCATCGCCCAATATTCCTTTGAGATGTCCAGAGTTGCTGGCAGGCAAAATCCCTTTGCCTTTCACACCCATCCGAGGTGCGCCTAGTGAGGCAGATGCTGTGTCCTGAGCACTCATGTGAGCAAAACGATGACACCGCTATTAGCATAATGGGCCAAGAGGCATCTGCATGCGTAGTCATTATGGATTTTTATGGGGTGTGTGACCAGAAAGACAAAAGCAGTTATGCTGTGCAAGACTCCAGTGCAAGTGCGATATCCTGCTGCTTGAATTGGTTTAAACTTCCCACTCCTGAATATATTTCATCCAAAAGTCCCATGTAAATACACTGAGTGTTAGTTTATCTACTTTACAGAAAAAAAAAAATGGTTTGCACCCACTTTTAAGCATTTTCCTACTTTAAAACCTCAAGCTTCTCTACATTTCACTGGACTGAACTTTATAAAGTTGGGCCAAATGTGAAGGATTAAAGGAAAAGGATGGATGGTTATCAAACCACAAAAGAAAATAATATTTTGATTTTTTACAGATTTTTTTTGCTCTGAAATCCCAAAGATCATGCTATTGAGTAAGGCTGGGCAATTATTAAATAACAATATGTATCAATCGATAGACGTATATCGATAATAGAAAAAAAGGTTAAAAAAAATAAAAAGTTTAATAGAATAACCACTTTCCTTTCTTATGCATTTTAGCCATGTAGGTTAATATTACAGTCATTACATCATCTCAACCAATCACAAACGCAGACCCAGGTACCCTCTGTCACTAAGCTCCGCCCCCTTCAAAGAGTTCAGAGAGCACATGTTCTATAACTTCTAGAAGTGCAAACCTAAGGGGCATTCGAAACTATAAAGCAGCAACAGTCAGTTCTACTACCTACTGACTAAAGGATCCAAAACATTTTTTAGTGGAAACTTAGTTTAAAACCGTTTGTCCTTTTATACTCTTCTTCACCTACCCTCATTTTAAAAAGAAATTAAATTAATTCAGGTTTGTTGTTGCAACTTGACCAAATGTGAAAGAAAATGCACATAAATAAATTTGCAAAGCACTGTATCATTTATAATACCATCCATTATATTCAAGCAGCTTAATTAGTAGCAGATGATACCTTAAGGAAAGGCTCACGCATGCTAATATGAACTGATGTGTTGCCTGCAGTATCAACAGACATATTACCATTAAACAGCTGTTATATACGCACCATGAGATGGGGGTTTGTATGAAAAGCAGTAGAGCTGCATAGCTCTCAAATAGACATCCCAAGTGGTTGGTTTCTCCAAATAAGCTATCAGTTATTTGTCATCAGGTTTTTTAAAGATATTTATGGGTAAGATGAGACTACTTTACCAGAAGGGTATACTTTGTGTGCAATAATTAGAGTCTCATCATTATCCTCATTACCTCCTCACATTTAACACCATGTGCAGATTAGAAAGTGTTGCTCAGATGTAATACATATGTGCAATACACAGTCACCAGATGTATCTCAGTTTTTGTGGAATAAAGCCATTTTCTTGGAACCCCCTTGGCCTCTCTGGCAATATGTGGTGGTGCAAACAGCAGGCTGTGGACCTTTGACCTTACTTGCAGAAAACAGTGTTGCAGGTTCTTGCCTCGGGTCTTTCACCTGGATAGTAATAATGAAAAAGACACACAAACACAAACCTACTGCAGACTGCAATGTAGTTCAGTGAACTCAAACCACCTAAGCTGTGATGAAACTGACAATTTAATATCCAAATCAATATGTCTTCATTCCACATTTATGGCCCATCTTTAATTGACAACCCTTTGCATACCATTTATCTTGCTTTTTCTTTAAAGTCCATTTGCATCTTGCGCTATTCAGCCTTTTCTTTTATTGATTTGTCACTCCCCTCTACCCTCCTCTAACCAATCTCTTATGACTGTTCTCAGCCTTCACACTCTTTGTTTTTCCTTTTCGCCCTACAGGAGGTATGAAGTGAATCCAGTATGTGGAGACCTCCAGGGCCAGATCCTGGGTTGCTACAAAGACAACGTTGGAAAAACCCTAAATTGCTCCAACATAGCAGCTCTTTACCTGCAGTGTGTTAACGATGCCAAACAGGTGTGTATTTTCTATAGTAAGATGTTTGTTTGCAGCATTTCTCATTCTGATCCTTATTGAATGAGTTTACATATTTTCCATGACTGATATTTGGCTACAGTTATATCTTAAAGGTAATAGCTCCAAACCTTTCATCAAAGCAATAAAAAAAAGAATGAATTCACAGAATGTCTAAACTGGTGCAAAATCAAAGTACTGATTTCACTAAAACATGTATGATATATAAATGATTGTTTTATAAATTCCACACATATAAGTGTTTATTTCTGGCTTTGGTCCTATTGTCGATACAAAATTATTCTGCACCATTTTTTAACTTTGCAAAAATATAGGTATTCAACATGAGGTAAATGCTGTCAATTTAACTTAAATATTCTGAAGCTCGTTAAGATAACCTTGTTTTCCCTTTCGGAAGCATGTGCATGCACCTTGATGGAACGGTAACATGTAAGTTGTGTTATTATTTTAGTCTGATAGAGCAGATTTCTGTTTAGTCTATGTGAATTGCAAAATATGTCTTAGCTGCATTGTTTGTCACAGCCCTAGCTGTCAAATTATAGATACAGTAGGGTTTTCCCTCCAAAAGTGTCAGTTGATCTATATAATTCATATCTTTTAACCTTTTTTTCTTACCATTTTCATATTTCCACCACATTAAACAACATGAAAGGAAAATCACACATGCTTTTTAAGGTGTTGCATATTTAAAATCGTTTTCCGCCTCCCTTAGTCAATACTTTCTAGAACCATCTTACACTGCAATTACAGCTGCACGTCTTTGGGGAGTATTTTTACTTTGTATGTTTAGAAAGGGAATTTTTTTTCGGTTGAGCTCCCTTAAATTAAAGATAAGTTGTAAACGGCAGTCATTAATAATTCCAACAGATTATCAGTTGGTTTGAGATCTTAACTGTGTCTGGATCATTCAAACAAAAGGGTATTACTATTTTATTGTTTAAAGGCTGTTGTCCTCTATCCCCATCTGTCTTTTGAAGCCTTAAATACATTTGCTTTCAGGTAATACGTAAAGCAACACTTTGTAACTTTTAGCCACTAGAGGTCCTCGATCTGTAACGTTCAGATTTAGCGCCCTCCGAAGGCCACTGGCAACACTGCACTGTTACAAAGTGCTATGGTCTCCCTCCGTGTTTTGGAATCTGATAGCAGACCACTTTGGACCAGCAGATAGAGAAGTCATGGAATTACTTGTAAAGACAAGACCACATTCAGCCCTCTAGATTAAACCCTACATCATAGAACCCAAAGATATGTCTGATCAGGTAAGTGGCATATCTGCTTTGCTGCCTAACAGCAACTTTAGCTTATACCATAAAAAGAAAATTAAAAACAATCCACTGGACTTTGTTTCCAAGTTTGAAGATATTTCCATTCCAGGAAGATTTTTTCAATTCAAAATATCGGAAATAGTGTTGAGTTCGAGGTTTTTTATACAGTAGCCCAACAAGGCCTTGTTTTTGTTTTGAAAACATGCAAATTGGAACAGAGGAAGGGGTCCATTCTTTTGGAATGGGGGTTGTTTGGCTTCTTTTGTTAGACTGCAATACCCCATACCCATCTAAGTGTCTGAAAGGTTGGTCGTTAAAGGGGATTGTTGGCCTTGCTGAATAGACAAGGTCCTCCAATCTCCTGTATACTTTTAGCTTTGTTAGATCTTGCTTAAGGGCACAGAGAGATAAAAGTAGACTGCCTTGTTGGGTGCAGGTTCGCACGTCAATGTTACCGCCATATTGTATGTGGCAGAAAGTAGTTGCCAAGGTGCTTGGCTCCAGGTACTTAGAGATTCACTTCCATACAGAAAGCCCACATTCTTATCTTCAGCTATCACAGTATACATGTCATATTAAATAATACTACTTATACTTCAGCGATAGTATCAAGGTGTTACTTTATTGTATGTCTTGTAACATGTCCGTTGGTTGTACTGTTATTTTTACATCTCTTTGCAGGTGATGAAGCAGACTGAAGATGTTTTATCGTTATCTCCCTTTTATCTCCTCTTTCTTTCATCTTTTCTCCTTTTTTCTCTTTTTCCTTTCCTGTTCTATTTAAATTGCAGTGTCCATATAATCTAATAATACTCCCTATTATACTTCATGCAGGGAGTAATACTCCCTGCATGAAGTATAATAAAGCTATTTCTATGCATAAATCAAGCGGAACACTATGGCGATAGCTGTACTGCTCCACTTGTGAAAGTAAAATCTGCTCTTTTTGAAATCCAATTATTCTTATTGTCTCATTGCCAGACAGGACACTGTTAAAAAAGTAGTTGCCAAACTGGACGTACTAAAGCTGCAGAGTGGCTAAACTAGGAAAGACCTTAAAATTCTATTTCAAGGTTTTTAGCTGCATACATTACAAATGACTATTTTTAGATATAGATGTGCATATATAGATTTATATAGATTTTTTAGTATTATATAGATTTTTTTTAAGTATTATAAATAAATAGGTGTGTGATTATATAAAACTATATGTATGAGAATTAAGGGGGAGCATTTCCAGAATAGCCACAGTTTGCGGAACTGTTTCAGTCCTGGAGTAATAGGGGCAGGATAGATTACTTTAATTATTTTTATATTTTACAGGAATAAGGTCAGGAGAATGAAGCCAAAGGGATACAAAAATAAACCCGAAATATTACGAAAATAAAAATATTACGAATATAAAGAATATTCTGAGATTAAAGTCCCTCTGATACTGTTTAAGTGTCTTAGTCTAACAGCAGTTTTGCCACATCCAACATGGCTGATGCTCTAACTCATTCGCAGCATATGCAGACCTCTTCCAATGAGGGCGTCTACATATATATAATGTGTGTGGTTAAGGTGAGCTCAGATTACTGTAAAACAGCACCATGGGTGACATGACCTCTGTAATGACGAATCCGATCCTCTTACGTTACCTAGTAAATTTTTTTTTAGAAGAGTATCCATTAAAGAGCCTTTATACAAGTGCCAAGTGCAAAATATTGACATGATCATTTGATGTACAGGTGCTGGTCATAAAATTAGAATATCATGAAAAAGTAGATTGATTTCAGTAATTCCATTTAAAAAGTGAAACTTGTATATTATATTCATACATTACATACAAACTCATATATTTCAGATGTTTATTTTGTTTAATTTTGATGATTACAAATGACAACAAATGAAAATCTCAAATTCATCATATCAGAAAATTAGAATATTGTGAAAAGGTTCAAAATTGATGGCCCCTGGTGCCACACTCTAATCAGCTAATTAACTCAAACCACCTGCAAAAGCCTTTAAATGATCTTTCAGTCTAGTTCTATAGGCTACACAATCATGGGGAAGACTGCTGACTTGACAGTTGTCCAAAAGACGACCATCGACACCTTGCACAAGGAGGGCAAGACACAAAAGGTCATCGCTAAAGAGGCTGGCTGTTCACAGAGCTCAGTGTCCAAGCACATTAATAGAGAGGCGAAGGGAAGGAAAAGATGTGGTCGAAAAAAGTGTACAAGCGAGAGAGATAACCGCACCCTGGAGAGGATTGTGAAACAAAACCCATTCAAAAATGTGGGGGAGATTCACAAAGAGTGGACTGCAGCTGGAGTGAGTGCTTCAAGAACCACCACACACAGACGTATGAAAGACATGGGTTTCTGCTGTCGCATTCCTTGTGTCAAGCCACTCTTGAACCACAGACAGCGTCAGAAGCGTCTTGCCTGGGCTAAAGAGAAACAGGACTGGACTGCTGGTGAGTGGTCCAAAGTCATGTTCTCTGATGAAAGTAAATTTTGCATTTCCTTTGGAAATCAAGGTCCCAGAGTCTGGAGGAAAAGAAGAGAGGCACTTCATCCACGTTGCTTGAAGTCCAGTGTAAAGTTTCCACAGTCAGTGATGGTTTGGGGTGCCATGTCATCTGCTGGTGTTGGTCCATTGTGTTTTCTGAGGTCCAGGGTCAACGCAGCCACATACCAGGAAGTTTTAGAGCACTTCATGCTTCCTGCAGCTGACCAACTTTTTGGAGATGCAGATTTCATTTTCCAACAGGACCTGGCACCTGCACACAGTGCCAAAGCTACCAGTACCTGGTTGAAGGACCATGGTATCCCTGTTCTTAATTGGCCAGCAAACTCTCCTGACCTTAACCCCATAGAAAATCTATGGGGTATTGTGAAGAAGAAGATGCAATACACCAGACCCAACAATTCAGAAGAGCTAAAAGCCACTATTAGAGCAACCTGGGCTATCATAACACCTGAGCAGTGCCACAGACTGATCGACTCCATGCCACGCCGCATTGCTGCAGTAATACAGGCCAAAGGAGGCCCAACTAAATACTGAGTGCTGTACATGCTCATACTTTTCATGTTCATACTTTTCAGTTGGCCAACATTTCTATAAATCCTTTGTTTTTATTGGTCTTCAGTAATATTCTAATTTTCTGATATGATGAATTTGAGATTTTCATTTGTTGTCATTTGTAATCATCAAAATTAAACAAAATAAACATCTGAAATATATGAGTTTGTATGTAATGTATGAATATAATATACAAGTTTCACTTTTTAAATGGAATTACTGAAATCAATCTACTTTTTCATGATATTCTAATTTTATGACCAGCACCTGTATCTCAAATACCTCTAATACTTGCGTTAAAACTTACACAATGTTTTTTTTAATAGTTTAATTTTCTATCAATGTTTTTTTCTGATTAGTCAACCATTCATGAATAATATGATATCATCACTTTGTGATTTAGAAAAGACGCTAATGACATTTGTAAAATGTTTTAACTCACCTTGTCCTCCTCTTGACACTCTCTTTTTACATCTAAAAAAAAAAAAAAAAAAAAAAAAATTAAAAAAAAAAAAAAACAATTTGTTATTTAACTATTTTTTCCAAGCGCTGTGGTGCCACATCCATGGGGTTTATGGGATTTCTTGTGGCTTTCTTTCAACAATGGCTTCCATATTGCCACTGTGCCAGAAAGGCCAATTAGAAGAGTAGTTAAAAGAGTAAAGATGATAAAATAAATTCCAGATCTTTACCAGACAGATTCGGCTTTATGTGCCACTTTGTGTCACAAAAAATCCAAGAAAAAACATTGAACTCTGTTGTGTCGTGACTAAAGGTGGTAGAAATTGATACTTAAAACTAATACATTCGACACTGTGGACACTGTAATCTGTACCCTCTATTCATGCATACATGTGTGCACCCATTTACAGAACACACACTGACTGCTTGCTGTTTGACACGAGAATATCATTTCCATAAGGTTACTAAACAGAGATCACTGAATAGCCGGTTTGGAACTTATACTATTTGCATAATGCTTGCTGACACAGGCGTTCCCTGCCTTGTCTCTGTGTATACTGTAATGTAATAAGGCCAAGTGAGCAGCAGACACCATTCGGACACCACAGTCCCATATTTATCTTCTCCACTTATTGCAAGTGCAAATATTTTTTTTCCCACCCTTTTCTTCCTACAGGTCGTACAGTGGTTCTACTGACGTAACTCAGGATATTAACTTGATTCCCCTTCTCTTTCACGTTGCCCCCAAAAAGACTCCATTTGCATTCATAGAGCTTTTCTATTAGATTTTTCTGAAATTGCATTGTTTTCCCAGTAAGAAGGAAAACTGTGTTTCGCGTCTCTCGGTCACTCGTGGGTATTGCTATTAGATCTAAAAGTCAGATGCAGGCACATTTTTAAGCTATGTATCATGTAAATTGCCATATGTTTTATTCATCTCACGCATCCACACGTGTTTGCGTGCACGCTTAATGCAGCTACCTGTAAGCTCGTCAGAATGCAGCGAGGGTTATGCTCACTTTCTGGGTGCTGGGTTATAATCTTGTAAATTGTTTGGAAGCAAGCCGGAGACGGTATGGTAATCCGCTTGTGTTTATCACCCGGCAGCAATCACAGCGCACTCCTGTTCATCTGGGCTTATCTGTCTTAAGACTTGCTTTTAAAGTCATTAGGTGTAAAAGAGACGGTTCTGTGATAAGGCTTTAGAGGGATAATATACAGAATTACACAGCCTGCAGAATAAGATGGGAAGGAATGAAGTGGGTCTGATATGAGCTGATGTGGCTTCCTGATTAGGATGTTTATGCAGCTTTATCAGAGCCTCGCAGGAAGCTGCTTCAAGAACAAATGCCAAAGAATGGGGCTTTTTAGCTCCACAGGTCAGAAAATCCCAAAAGTGACCTCTAACAGTTGCTTCTCATAAGGTGTCCGAGACATTTTGTAGCCTGGATCAGAGAGATTTCTTTTAAATCCCACATTCAACCAGAACAAGCAGCACCACAGATACAGATGGTCTTGTCGAAGATGCAAAATAATTGATGAGTGGAACCCAGCTCCCAAAAATCCGACTTTCACAATCTTGACCCAACAACTGGAGACTAGCATTGTCAGCTGCTCAGCTGTTGTTACTGATAATTAGCCCTTTTATCGCAGTGGTCGGTGATAACCTCTAGCTCCACATTGGCTCCCCTTCACCACCTCTTCATTCCTTTCTTCCTTCTTCCACCATCCCTTCATCCAGAGTCACATTTTAATGCATTCACCTCTTAACAGGCTTGATAGCAGACAGAGAGAAAGAGGCAGTGGAGGTACAGATAAAGTCTCCTCTCTCTCTCTCTCGCTCTCTTTCTTTCTCGATTAATAGGAGTTTATCACTGAGGCTGATCTCTCCATCCACTGCTTACTGCCTCATTCCATATTCTTGCTGCATCACTGCCTTTTTGCTCTCTATCTCTTCCTTTGCCACTTTATTTTTTAGGCTGACCCGTCTGCCTCCCCTGTCAGTCTCTAAAGCCCGAGCAAGATCCTCGTCTGTGGTGGCAGGATGTTTTGTATTTGACAGCACTGGAATGGGAAACTAGTCCGGCAGGATCATTAATATACACCGCTTTTCTTTAAGTGTTGGACTGTCACATCTCATAGTTATTAAATTCCATGGTTGTGCTTTTAAAGGTATGGAAGAGGTTTTTTTTTCTCAGAAATTAACTGTTTAGATTCATCTTAAATGACTTAATTGATGGCTGGCATTCTTGCACTTATGGTCCCCCCCCAAAAAATAATATTTTTAAATCCATAAACTCTGGCCGTGGTGGGACCCAAACAACATTAGCCAATTTACTTTGCCTACTGTCGAAAGTGGATTGGCTACTTTTGCGTATTTTGCGTATGTCCCCCCAGTACGTTATTTAGGTAGGCTCCAAGCGTAACTTATACACTGTTTGGCTAGTTGTCCGCCATTACGCCGAAAAACTAGTTATTTTTGAGTTATTTTTTCACTCTTTTGCTTAAACTGGAGCATCAATGGCCATAAAGAATCCTGACAAACCTAACTGGAAAAGAAAGCCTTTTTTTCGATGTAGCTGTAAAGTGGGAGAGAAAGTGGGAGAGAACGATCCAAGTGTGTTCAGTAGATTCTTTTCAGAGATGGCGTGCCCTGAAGGGTCTGAAAATGGATGCTTTGGTCGCAAAACTTCTGCTGGACATGTAAATTACTTTTAATTCTGTAATGAACCCTTCTGTAAACACTGTATATTTTTAAACCTGCAGCAACACGAACACACTAATAAATTGTATATATAACTTGCAGTGAAAATGCCGGCAGACTTCCTCTTCTTATGGAGATTTCATGCTGACTAGGTGAATCCTCGCACTTTGCTGCCTCTCTAGGTGAAATACAAAATTACTGGCAGAAGTATTTCGAGCAGAGAGAACTTTTGCAAAGGAGGGGGTACTCACGCATGCGCAAAATTTAAAAATACACAAACAGCTTTTGGACATATCTTCCACCTCAGAATCCTCTTTCCTGCTTTTAAATCTAAACCTGGAACATCATAAGAGCTCATGATTATCTAGACAGAAGGAACTACCTTTGACCACTTCGAAGATGTGTTAAAAACACAAGATATTTGAAAGTATTAGCTTTATTTTTTGATTAAGTATTGTAGAGATTTTTTTTTTATTTGACTTGTATTTAGTTGAAGGAACCCCCCATATGAAAGTATTCAAAGCATTTTTTTTTTTTTTTTTGCTGTATTCAGTGTTTTTTCAGGTGATCCTGCAGATTTCTTTATTTTGATTATTTTACCATCTCTAATTTTTACCTTATATTAATCTGGATGTGTAACGAACGGAATTCAAGGACCCAGAAATCAACCAGAACACAGAGAAACGGTTTAACATTTTATCATAAAAAAACTGCAGCAGGACGTGAAAGTCTCGTCTGACACAGGAGCTGGATCTCTCAGTCTTGGAAGAAATGCTTGTATCCAAACACAGAGAATCACCAGTGTCGCCTGTTGGCTTGTGACCTCACAGAGCCTTGTTTTGCCCAGAAATTCGTCTAGGACATCTACAGGGAATCTCTTAGTGTTTGTCAAAGGCTTTTCCTGCGGAATGCAATAGGTCAGAACAGCGAGAGCAGAATCGTGCAGGTATAGCAAAAGGACCAACCAGAGTGAGAGGTCCGTGAGCTGGTCCAAGGTCCAAGCCCGGTGATCTGATTTCCAGAGGGAATCAGAGTGGCTATCAAAGGGAGTTTCAGGGCACAGTTCCAGGTCTGGTAACAGATCAGAAATCAGATCAGGCTGGTTTCAGACAGGCTCAGATAATCTAGAAACAAGACAGGTCAGGCAAACAGGCAGGGAATCAGATCATATGGGGTTCAGTTAGCTCAGAAACAGGGAGGGATCAGGTCAGGCAAACAGGCAGGAAGTTAGGAACAAAATACTCGAATAGATGTCACCGGGTGGCTTGAAATAATCTGGCACTGATGTATGGTCTGAAGGCTGGTTATATACTAATAGGTGAAGGTGGATCAGATGAGTGGTAATGAGAACATGGCGGAGCTGAGCAGTTGTTTCTTGTAAGGAAAGACCAGCATCAGTGCTGAGATCATGACAGGATGAATAATTGGAGTTAAATCACTCTTCATTTGGTGTAACTGATATTTAGATTTCACCCACCCTATCAAAAACCTCAATGCTCTCTGAAGTTTGCTGAAATCACTATGATTGTTATTTGATATTTGCTAAGAATGAGATAAACTGAAGAGAACAGGGCCACAATCTGATTCATTGGTCCTCAACATCAGCAGGACCAAGGAGGTCATAGAGGAGGACTACAGGAGGTCAAAGGAGGCTGAACACCGCTGCATACAGAGAGGCGGTAAAGTGTGTGGTTTGCATCGAGTTCCTGAAAGTTCACATCACCTCTGACCTCTCCTGGACAGAGAACACCTCCCACTTGGTTAAAAAAAAAAAAAAAAAGGCTCAACAGCAGCTTTATTTATAATTTTTTCTTCAGGCAGTTGAAACAGACTTGATTCACTTCTCAGCTGCTCAGACACATCTACAGGAAAACCATTTAAAGCAGATTGAGCTTTTCCTTTACTCACACACAAACCCCTCCTCAGAAACACAAACAAAATGACACACAAACTACTGGTATTCTGAGTAAATTGGCCTCTATATTATATTTATATAACTGTCAGAAAAAGAAAATCAATTATCAGTTTGAGGCTCATTTAATATAAATGAAGAACTTCTTAGATTTATTAAAAATGAATGTGTTTTATAGAAGTTTTCTAAAAAATATTCCTAGTTTCCTGTTAAAGGTTTACCTTTCTAAATTTTTTTGTTTAAGTTTAGGTGACTGCAATAAAAGACAAAACTATATTTTTATGCAATAATTATGGTCATTATTTTGTTGTGAGGAGTAATAAAGTAAAAACAATGAGGAGGACTCTCCATGGTGTTTTTTTTTTTTAAATGGAACTCAACTTGAGAACGTATTTTTAAGATCTTTTTTATGAGATTGTCAGAGATGCTGTCCTGCAGGTGTTTTCCTCTAGTTGGTATTCTAGGAGAAACTGTTTTTATCCAATATTTATTTTATGGCTAGTTCAATTGTGTGGGAAATAAACTGTGATACCTTCAGAGAGATCTTACAGGGCTGTTATTAAGGTGGTCACTGAGGAACAGAGTATTTTTGCTTCTTCCTTTTTTATCTATGTTAGACCTGTTCTTTATATCTCCTGCTTCCTCTTCCTTCCCTCTTACTCATCTTCTCTTAGGTGATTTTTCTTGTCACATCTACTGCAGAAGGATGTTTCAAATGGTTATTGACAAGGAGAGCTGGGGATTTGTGCTTGTACTTATCGCTAATATGGAATCCTATGCCCTTGGGTCTCTTCTCTGCTTCTTGAACTCACTTCATCCTCTTCTCTTTTATTGTACTCTCAGGCTTTCCTCTCTTTGTGTCCTCTTTCATGTGTGAAATAATATCTTCCTCCTCTGTTTTTCTGTTTTGATTTATGTTTCTTTTTTTTTTTTTTTGCCGCTCCTCTGACACACTCTCCTTTCTGATTTGTCAACAGAACCAGTTGAGGACTGGGGGATAAGGATGAAGGAGAAAAAAAGGAGGAGCAATTCTGAGTATATTGGGGATTATAGGTTGATGGACTGACAAACTCAGTCAAAGCGGAGTAGGAGAGGAATGAGTCAGCACCAAGACACGCACCTTCAGAACCCTGTGGAGCACCGAACCAGACTAGACACTGAACACTTTTCCTTAGTTTCTACCTTCCTCCCTACCTCTTTTACCTTTTGTCGATCTCTCCTGTGAGTACGGCAGAGAGGCAGTGGTACTGTGTGATGTTTTGGATACACGGCATGGGGGAGAACAACGGGATACAACACGACCAAGCTTGGCCGTAAACTTTACCTCAAACTGTTAACCACCTCCAGAAAGCCAGCCTTCCCTTTCTCAGGTTCCTTGGACTGATATCCTCTCACCTTAACTGATAAAAACCAAATGTCCATCCTAGTAAATGTCACATCTACTTTGTTCTCCATCATTTGTTGTTTTCCTGCTCCTCATGCACAATAATATATACAAATACACATATAGGCATCTGTTACATCTTTGCATTTGTTTGGTTTACAGTAACTTTGTGGTGATTTTCATGTTAGTATCTGTGTCAAACTTTCACAAACACCAACACCTGTTTGTTTTGAGGAAATAAAAGTAAAAAATTATAATTTTGTTATGAATTTGTTCCTTTATTCAATCAGTCATGAGTAAAGAATAGGATACGTTAGTGCCTTAAAAGCCTGCAGTGCTACTCATACTTCATAAGGCCTTTCTTGACTTGCACAAAGCTTAAACTGCTAGCACTGTTATTATCAACCCACGTAAAGGTCATACAGGATGATGTGGATCTGAATATTTGAAAATAAATAATTCTGGGTCTGAGTAAATTAGACTTAAATGGCCAAAAGATAAATTTTGAACCCAAAAGAAAAACAGACATTTACATACAAAACCTTTCTTTTCCTATAATGAAGGAAATCGTCATTATATACTTACAACATCTTGTTACATATGTAGTAAGTTTGGTGCCCATACAGTAAGCAACTGAGAAGTTATAGATGTTTAGATAAAAATCTAAATAGATGAAGGGAGGATGTTGGGCAGATAGAAAAAGACCTAAATATACATTTTATTCCATAAATTAATTTCCATATTTATTCCATAAATAAAACAAAACAACTCTGCAATCAAGTCAATCGAAATTACGTCCTGGTAGCCTACTGTTCTCAAACTATTCTCTAAAATAAGAAAAACAAAACTGTCCAAGTAATTTACCTAAATGAAATAAAACTTTCTGTACTGTAAATTCTTTTACTTATTGACCATTTTGCTGTATGACCAGATATCAATAACAAATGTATGGTTTAGGACCAGTTTAGCGCTCAGTAATGCATTCAAATGAAAACTTTAGCCTGCTTCTTTAAACTGAATGGGTGGGACCCAGGATTTGGAGTATATTCTGCAACAGAGAGGATTAAATTTCCCTCAAAACTCTAACTCTATTTTTTATCTATTTCCTGTCTTTTCCAATACAACTTCATTTTCTTTTGTTTGATAAAAATAGCATTATTTTTCTTAGACAAATATTCATTTTTTTCTCTCGTCTCTCTTTGACTTCTCCCAGTTGCAGACTACAACTTTATTCTCGCCTGTCAGAGCTCTCTACATTTTTTTTTTTCTGCATTCTGCAAAACTCTCGCTTGGATTGTGCTAAACCAACAAACTGCATTTCTACGAATTTAGTCTGAGTGGGCGGTGGTAATTCACAGCCTCCTTTTACAGCTGCCATAATGGTGGGGATGTGTTGTTAAAAGGGACACGGCCTGAGTCTGATGTGATCGCAGGTCATCACAGAGGAGAACTTATCTTAATTCGGCATCAGAAGGAGCAGCTCTGTGATGGACAGGCCAAGAGGAGCAGGGAGTGTGTGTGCGCAAGCGTGTGATTTGTTGTGACTAATCCGCCTCTGAATGTCAGTCAGCTGTCCTTCTGCTTTTTGACTTTTGGAGTCTCAGAGGGGTTAAGGCTTTTCTGTGTGTGTGTGAGGGGCTTTCTAAAGGTTCTGGGTAATGGATTTTGAGGTTCATGGCAGGTGTTTCTCCAAGGACCAGAACAAGTTTCCTTTTTTGTCATCTTTTGTCACTTGTCTCTACAATCTAACAATGCACCCAGAATAATCAGTTTAAGTCTGCATTCACTTTCTAATTGGATTACATATCTGATACGTTAGAATATGATTACGACGAGAAAAAAAACTAAAAGTAGCTTTTTTGGAGTAAATTTTTTTCCACCATGGCCTCAAATGCCATTAAATATCTATAGATAATACGACCCAATAGTTTAATTCTGTTACGTCTATAGAAAGAAGGAAACCTTATTACTTTAGTTGTTAATAAACTGGTAGATTGAATGTTGGATTTTACTGATGGAAAGAAAGGCATCTTGATTGCAATATCTTTTACTCCCTATGCTTACAAATTAAAGACACTTGTATAAAGTTAAATGCCAAATTCGTTCTATTCATGCCAAAATGAGTAGGATTTATGTTAAATGCTGCAGCGCTTCTCCTTTTTAAATTATTTGCCTTTCTTTTTATTCAGTATGTCTGTTTTTAAAGTTATTGAATTATTATCTTCAGTGATTTTTTGTTTGTTTCTTAAGACTAAATGCATTTACTACCTTAAGACTGAATGTATTTACTACCTAATTCATAATAATAGTGACAGTAATAATGTGATAGGATATGGTTAATGGTCACGTTTTGTTTGATCTGCTCCCAGAACGTTTTCCCACACTTGTTGTTAAAACCAGTGTATCTGACTTCATATCTGTCATTTTCTAATTTTACTCTTTCTGATCATTTCCTCGTTTGTATCGGCCATGTGAGAATCAAGTGTGCAGTCTTATCATGACACATGCACTTCTCCCCTAAAAAGCCTTCCTAATTTCTCCAGTCTTTGTCATGACTATCGTGCTTTAGATTATTCTAATTATGATAATTTCTCTTTTAAACAGACAAAAAGGAAGACCCTCAAAGGTCAACCGCACTGTCACTAGCTGCTGAGCAGATGGTGATGGTGCAGTATGCATGCAGAGTATGTCGCATTACAGGGATAATTCTGACAGATTGTTTGTGAGAAGTGCACACTCTACCAAATGCCATATTGCCTTGAAAAAGGTATTTATATGCTTTGAGTCAGGCCAAGCAAAGAAGGCATGCTTTTATAAATTCTCTTTAACAGTTGTTTCCATTTTTTTTTTTTTTTTTTTTTTAACATGCAGTAACAGGTCAGACGAGGACTATTAACAGTTTGGTCTATATTTAAAATTTCATATGTGACTGAAAAATAGCACTGCTATGAAGACACCATACACCTCCGGACAGAAAAACATGGTAGTGGCAGAATCATGCTGGGGCTCTGCTTACTTATAAGAGCCCATTATTATACCCATTTTTAAATTGGCCGGAAAACCAGTGTACGTCCGGGAACAAACGGTTTTTAGTGGCAGTGGGAACAGCTCACTGACGCGTGTCTACCCGGGTCAAACGACTTGGCAAGCAACCCGTGTTAAAATGGCCTCAGCTCTGATCGGCATGCTGTGGAAACACCAGACCCAGTTTGACCCGCTAAATTACGTGATAACTTTGAGCGCAACATACGTACGTCACAGCATCGCAACATTATATTTTAAATAACAAGCCCATAAAACTCTGCTTGTATTCAAAAAACATGGCAAACACTGGCAAGATAGAGTGATTTGTGAGCTCCTTATGATCCGCAGAGAAGAGGAGATTCGTCGGCAGGTTTTAGGCATTGTTCGACTACGCGCTGCCTCCCGTCCATGTTGCTCTCCATTATTTACTTCACAGATTCCCATTGCACTGTCGACATCAGATATGATCACCTAGCGTGATGCCTTCATCAGACACATCAGACAGTGGCCATTCAGCTTGCTATTTTGGTCAAATGCGGTTTGCAGGTCAACCCGGTTTTTTGTGTGAAACTGTTTTTTATTAGTTTTTTATTAGTTGTTAGTTTTTTATTTATACATGAAAATTGAAACATCAACGATACACATTTGTCCTCTTTTTTTATGTGAACAAAAAACAAAGACAATACAAAATCAAAACCAAACGAAAATGACATAAATAAACAACAACTTTCTCAACCCGCCTCTCTCCCTTTCCCTGGGACTTACCGTACATCTTATCACACAGAGAATCAAAACAAATTATCCTCAAATAGAGTTATTAATATATTGCTGAACCCAGTTTTTAAAAACCCAGGATTTCAGGATGAAAGGGGCTTCAGACGTTGTTTGAGGCCTGGTTCCAATCGACTAAAACCAATTTTTGTGTTCCTAAAGTAAAACTGTATGAGGGAAACCTAACCTCTCATTACCTTGTCACTGGGTGGTGGCAGCATCATGCTGTGGGGTTACTGTTATTCAGCAGGGAGTAGGGAAACTGATGAGTTTTCAGCCTGGACTTTATGCATGGAGTAGCAAGTAAAAAGGAGGAATTATCCATGGTTCTGTTAGATAAAAGCTTCACATTATAGTGTTTAATTTTTGGTAATAGCTTGTTAAAAATTATGTTATGAAATTATAAATTTTTCGATTATTCAATAATCTTAGAAATCTGTATTAACTATTCTGTCATCACTCTGCTTGTGTTATCTTCCATTTTCAGAAGCTTATATATCCCTACAGTGTTTCGGTTTCTGTGTGAAACGTATGCCTTTGTTACTCCCACCAACACCAGTTCCTGTACTGGGTTGCTCATCATAAAGATAAAGAGAATTTCATTTCAGTGCTTTTATGATATTTCCGTTCTATACCGCCTCGATTCTTTAAATGAAAAAAAAAAAAGACATATCACAAAGCACTTAACTCTGCAGCTTCTCCACCATGATGACTAACCACATTGGATGTAATGACCTTCTCTGAGGAAAGAAGTGCTTTTCACTTTAAAGTCCTCCCAATGCTCGCTCCCTGGCTCTGATCCGATTGTGTCTCAGTCTTCCCACACAGGCTGCTGCTTCTTTTTGCATTTACTCCCCTTATTTAGTTCCTTTTTATTGCATCCCTTTCTTTTTCCTCAAACTTTTTTCCCTCACTCTCTGTAACTCATACCGAAGAATAGACTGGCAGCCTGAGGGGCGGATCTGTTGGAGCTGATTGGCTCTCCTTGCTTTGCCAATGAGGTGTGAAACGTCTGTCATGCTACTTTAACTCTTCTCTGAGGGCAGCCCTCGCCTCGCTTTTCATACGGATAGCTTTCACACAATATGCTTTGAAATATGACCCAACTTAGATCCACACGAGCAGGATAAAGTTTATCAGTATGGTTTAGGTTTAGGCATGGAGTTCATGATCCAGTTTGGAAATATGGAGATAAGAAAAGTAAGATGCAGACAAAAAGGAAGTTCCTGATTGTCAGATATGCCAGTGGGCTGTGCAGATGAGAGCAGATTGTTGTACACTTCATTCTAGTAATGGCCAGGCAGATGGCAGGCTGCTCTGTAGCCTCTGCTTAAGCTGATGGCTCTATTCATCAGGCTGCTACGCCCTTCCTGCAGCCCTGCATTGCCTCACAATTTATGGGCTCTTTTTCTCACACACTTCCTCTGCTCTTTTCTGCTTCTTATTTATTTATTTTTTTGTG